AAAATTCTCTATCGTTTTAAGGGATTGATTTTGTAGCGTTTGCTAGAACCGATCTGGTCTAGTTTATGGCTACTGTTTTATGGGTCGTGAAGATAGTCCCTGTATCTAAGAATTTGAGTACGGCTATATTACCTGCAACGAAACGATAAAAATTGGTCGAACGCTTTTTCGTTTCAGTGTATTAACAATTTATCAGAATAATTAACTAAATAAGGGCGTTTGCTTTGGCTCAATTTATCTGTTTAACCGAAATATTGGCAAAAGTTATAAACAACAGCGGGGAACAGTTTTTCTCGATCTGAAACTTCGTTACACAGTCTGGCCTGTTCTGTAAACAAGTTGTCCGAAGTATAAGACGATTTACGAACAAAAGAACGGTCTCATCAATTGTGCGAAAGAAACAAGAAGTTCCTTCGACTATTCGAAATTCACCGGGAAGTTTGGGAACTCTGTCAGGGAACGATAAGAGGCGGAAGTTCGCGTTAAGTTCCAACGAAACCGAGGATTTCTTTCCCTAAACTGAGATTCATTGCCCGGCGGCGGTGCGGCGCGACACTTTCGGGAATAAGAACGCTTCCGCGTCGTTCGCCGAGGATTAATTTCCCCGACGCACGCGCGCCGAACGAAAAACGAGTTTCTCCTCCGCGAATTCGAGCGGAACGACGTCCTCCATCCTCGGTGTCGTTCGAACGTCACGGAGAAACCGCGCGAGAGGTAGCCACGAACTTTCCTATCGATTTTGACTCGCGAGTCCCGCGCTGGAAACGGTCGGATTCCGAAACAGATTCTTTCGGGCTTCCTTCGATCCACGCGCTGCTGTACAGAACTACTGCTCGCCCGGAACAGAGGAACTGCTTTCGGAAAGCGAACCAATATCGCGGCAAGGTGCACGCCGGAAGTAGACACGATGCGGTTCTCGTAGCTTGAAATCGATCGAGGAACTACAGATTGTACCTCGGCGATGGATGTTTCGAATGTGTTTGCAGCGCGTTTCGATCCGACTCAAATTTCTCCGGACTACTCAGAAGTTCGCGGAATTTTTCCGCATTCTCTGTACGTGCTCCCTCGTTTCGTGTGCGGTGTTTGCACCGAACGCAATAGCAGCTGTTTATATGGAAGATTATCTCGGACGGCAGAGCTCCGGAGCACACGTCTTTTATTAACCCTTTGAACGTTATGAACGCATATATGGGTATGTGTACATAATCATTCAATTTCGGCTATGAACGCATATATGGGTTCTCACACAACCATTCAATTTCGGCTATGAACGATTGATGATACCAAAGACTTCTGAGCTTATATCAGTGTAGTTACGTACCTATTTCTGGACATTTGTCCTTTACTATTTAGTACTTTATTTTAAATTACCCTATATTATTTATAATCTCGTGCATTATATGCAGTCGCGTCCCACAGCCGGCGTTCAACGTCGAACCACTCAGCGCTGAAAGGGTTAAAAATCCGCGTGATCTATAAATGATTTATGACAGTGTCTGAAATTTATATCATTTTTACGACAGTCTTCGGTTTTACTTGATCTTCGACTATAATGCATTTTAAGGATTGATCCGAAGCTTCATTATAAGCCTTATTTTAATAATCAACAGCGCACCTATGATACCTGTCCTAATAACGGCTCGACTTTATATCAGAGACTTCTTGGCTCTGAGCTGTTCGTTTCTAATTCTAATTTTCATTATTATCTTAATGTCAGTAATCTAGAAAAATTCTGAGTTTTCCTAAATGAGAGGTGTATGCAAACTGTGGCGTATGTAAAATTCAAGAAACCGGTCCAAAGGGTGTCATAGAGATTTCTGCACATTTGCAGTCCACCAGAATCGCTTTGAAGGGAGAGATTGCAATCTTGTGCTTTAGATCAGCTCTCGTGATCAGCGTTTCTTGAATATTCGCAATGCAGAGGCCCTATCCGACATGGCATTTCCTTTCCATGAATTTTTGCATTTTCTTTGATTCCCTGGTTGAACTTTCTACCGGAATCTAATTGCTCGCGTGTTCCCGCACACAAACTTCAATTATTTACTAAGTTTCATACCTCGGGTCGAACTTCTTTCCGAGTTAATTAAGTAATTTGCAGCTCAGATTAAACTTTGAGTCTGGTTAACGTTCCTTTGGAAATCTTATTTATTTGATTCGATGTAACTTTGATAATAAAAGTTTGACGTTAACTTGTGTCGACGTCAATGTTGTATACTACCCATGGTTTGTTAATTAAACGCAGAAGATCAGAGGCGATTAACGAAATTATAATGCAGCAAAGTTGGAGCCAGTATCCGGGCAACCAGTGCGCCGCTGGCCATGACAAACTGTCAAACCCTCCACAAACTGTCTCTTCCAATTCCGCGTTTAAACTGCATCGCCCTCTTCGCGTTACACACGCGCGCAAAGTAATCAAATTCCAATCAGTATATGTACGTACAGGTACGCACCCAATCAAATATTCCTATGGTTTAATAAAGCATACAAACTCTCTCTCTCTCTCTCTCTCTCTCTCTCTCGTCGATCGGAGAAAGTGTGCACGAAATTCCAGGGGGTGAATATTAAATATCCAGGCGTAAATCGAGCATGCAGGAATTCGCATGATGTCGCGCAGCGAACTGCTGGCACGAGTCACCGCGAGAATTTACGCCATTTGCTGTTTGCACGTGCGAAAAACGTGTTTCTTGAATCAGAAAATTTCTCGACAATTTCCATCAATGACTAAATGTTGATTCACGTCGTACCGTTTGTATTTCGGCTGATATCGAACAACTCGAGGAAGTGATTCGGGCAAGATGTTGCGACACGCTCGGGTGAAATACGTCGCACGTGATACACGCTAGCTGGGTTAAGGAATACAATATTCCGGCGCGTAACTAGAAGTGAAATGCTGGGAGCGCACGACTGATCGGGAAGGCGCTGCGCGGCGCGACGTAGCGAGAAAGATTGGTGTTCCGCGATACGAAGGAAACGGAGAGGATATACGGGCTCTCGTAATGTCCGGAAGGAGCGGGTCGTTCGTGCCTACCGAACCGCGTAACACTTATCTCTTTCGGCGGGCAAAGTTTCGCTCCCCGGTGAACGATCGACGGGAGGGCGAAGGTATTCACCGTTTAAAGAAATCCACTTTTTTTCCCAACGGTGCAATTCGTTCAGAAGGAATCTCTGCGCGAATGGAAAGGGACTTTTTCCACGTTTTTTCTCTTATCAGCTTAACGAGCTTTTCTTTATCCGTCCGACAACGCTCCGCCGCCGCTCGCTCGCCCCCCTCCCCCAAGCCGCCCCTCCTACTGTTTCTTCGACACCGGCGCTCATTCTTCCGCTAACGAACGTTTTCTCCTATTTTCTAGCGGGACTCTCCCTGTGTACCTTTCTCTTTTTCTTCACCCTTTGATTCCTCGCCCGCTGTTCTCCGGCGTTACGTATCACCCGACGCCGAGCCGGCGCGTCGCGACCATGGCGCGGCGCGTCCCGTCGGCGTTTTGCCCGTATTTTTGCATGAGCCACGTTTTCTCTTCCTTTGTCGTCTCTTCACCTTCAACTCTTAAACATTTTCGTTTTTCCGCCGTTTCGCAGTGGACGCGCGGTTTTTATTCCCTTTAAATCTTCCCGTCGGTTTCACCGTCACATTTTTGCCCGCTCCTGTCTTTACTCTAACTCGATCTCGCTCTCATTTCCCCCGCTCCCGTCACTGTTCGTTACGCGGACACTTTTTGTCGCGTTTTCCACGAGTCGTTTGACCGTTTCTTTGGTCTTTCGCTCTATATTTGCTGGCTGTTCGTCTCGCGTTTTCATGTTTCAAGAGATTAACGTCCCCCGCCGCGTTTTTTCTCCCCGGCCGATGAGAACGTTTTTCCGCCGGAGTTTTCGCGCGGATTAACCTAAACTTCGGCCATGTATTTATGCAAATAATTACCGTCGGAGAATTATTACGCGACAATCAGCTTACGCAAAGGTTTTCACGTCTTTCTCCTCTCTGCAACCCGACGAGAATATTTTTTCTCATATGACTGATTTTATAACTTTTCCATTTTATTGAAAGTATTCATGATTTATTACACGTTCTGTTATAGAATTGATGACACGTCATTTATTAAATGATGAAATATTTAATATAATCTTTCAACTGATTAATTTTTAATTAAATTATTTAATGGACAAAAATATAATTTTATGTATGATTGATTATACAGGAAATCTCAGTATTTGTGGTACAAATATGAAATAAATTCTTCTTATTTGAAACATACTCAGAGGAAATTCAAAGTCGATTTTCTCAAAGCTTCAAATTAAAAGGATTTATTCCATATAACTCAATTTTCTCATGTACCGCCTGATCCAGTCGTATCGTCAGCACCGTGATATCATGTGTAGTCATTATAACTGATCTCCGTACAATTTCCTTCCTCGAAACTCTCTCTGTCTACGCGAGCACCCAGTTTACAAGCTACGGAGCTCATTCTAGGATGCACGGGATCAGCGTAGGCTGCGTCTAATTTCATGAACGTGCACGATTATTAGTCTTGTTGCTGCTCTCGCGTCGGTAGAGATCCGTATCTCGGCGCTGATCCTGCGGCGTGGATAACGCTTACGGAATTCCGTTTGCCATCGTTAACGAGGGAGCTGCTCGTTACCAGAAGTTACTGCGGGAGTGATTCTACGGGAACACTTCTCGCTCCTCGACGCGCCTACTTAATCGAGACGCATTCACGCGGCAACGTTCACGGAAAATTCGAGTGCGTGTATTACAAAATGCTCAGCGTTCGAATATCCACGAGAAGCAATTGCGCGCACTTTGCGAATTTCAGGCAAACTATGCAACCGTGACAAAAGAATACAAGATCTACTCCTCACGGTGAACCAATTTCCGTTCGGTTTTACGCTTTACAAAACGACCTCGTGTTCGAGCTTTTATTTAAGTTTTGTTGTAGTCCTGCCACGCTCTTGCGCCAATTTGTATAGGAGTAATTTTTAAAAATTCCGGTTAATAATTTTTGCAGGTTTACATCGTGGGTCACACACCGCCGGGCGTAGACGACCGCGACAGCGGCGCGGTGATGTTGCAGGAGCGTCACAACACGAAGTACCTGCAGCTGATCCGACAGTACTCGGACATTATTCGCGGTCAGTTCTTCGGTCACTGGCACTCGGACACCTTTCGCGTGGTTTACAGCGATACCGGTACGTATGTGTGCCCGTGCCTAGGGGCTTACGGTTGTATTTGTCCCTTCTTGCCAGCAGTAGGCCGCCGGTTAAGCACGGTGAATCAACCGAGGCGGCCGGATCGATGCGCAAGCAGCCACCGTGTTCAGCCTTTTACGGTGTGCGGTTCGCCGAGTAGCTATTCCTCTCTCTCTCTCTCTCTCTCTCTCTCTCTTTGTGCACACCATCGTAACTCACATTTTCTTCACGCTACATTTTGCCCGTTTTTGTACCAAGCCTACCCACCGCTTTTCTTCGCGGTTTGAACTTAACAGCACGGATTTTTTTTTTTCCCTCCTTCTGCGCCGGTACGTTTAATCTTCGGTGCATCGAAACAGAAACGAAACCGACGTTTGTTCTTTTACTGCATTTCCTTTGCTGCGCGCTGCTCGCGAAAACGCTGCCCGGGATCGCAAATATAGAGTTTCCAGCTGCATTTTCGTTGACTCTTTCATTCTCCCTGCCTCCCACGTTTCGTAGCGCGCGCCGCCGTTCCGCCGTCTTTGTGACTGGCGGGTGGAAACTAGGTTTATGAAATGTTTTGTACCACACGACAAACAGATAAGCTACCGTATTATTTTTTAAACAGTGGAACTGAACATTTCGGACGCATTTTTAAAGACTAGGTCACTCGAGAAATGAATTTCTCAACAAGATAGTCCTATTATCGCGTCGCACGGTAGCTAGGATAATTAACTGACATTTTTTAAACACGATAACTGATATACATATATAGACGGTTAGTGAGTGGATTCAGTCTCTAACACGTATCGGTCGAGTATGCGTCCCAGTTTGGTTACAAAAGAATTGCGGCAAACCGCGTGACTTCAGTAGTTTATTATTAAACTTCGTCACGGATGCGGCTTGACGGTAAAATCTATAAAATGCATTAAGCCTCGAGAGTATAATTATTCACGGGCTGCCCTCGCGGCGTCGCCGCTGCGAACGTCGATTGGCCGTAGTCTAATGGGAATCTAAACGAGCTATTTATCTCTAGCTCCTGAAATTAATGATTACGACTACGGGGAATACGTTCTTAGCAAATATTTCCACTGATCTCACGCGTGTAAAAGCGGTCGAAGGGAGGGCTGATTTTAATGGCGCTGTCTGGGTCAATCGGGTCCCGGGCGTAACTCATACTTTTTGCCAGATTCCATCCTCTGAATATGCTCCGGGCCAGAAATGATCATCAATAAATTCCCGGCGTGTGTCGTTCGATAACTAGAATACTTTTCAACCTTTTTCCGATCCACTTTTTATCGATTATCGAATGCAACGCACTTTTACAGTTTTATCATTATATCAAGATCGCGTGTATTTAAACGGTTGGAACATGGACGTGAAGGATGGTGTATAGACTGGTCTTATAAATGTAGAGATATAAAACTACGTTCGTGGAGGGACAGTCAATTCGGTCATTTTCCATGGTCAACCGGTGTTGCCGTCTATATATAAAACTTCACTATTTTTCCTGATCTTCCTGTCTACTACTTTTAGTAGAATTCTTACACCTTTTCACCATAAAATTCAATTTTTCAATTCTAATAGGAAATTTTTTAATACAGAATACGTCTAATATCGATTAATATAGCAGAGCAAGATTTACTCTTAAACATGCACGTATACAGCGTCATGAGAGTTAGGTATTCGCAATTTAATCGATTTCGTGACGTGACCGTTCATGCTATCAGGTTTACCAGTCTCCTGGATAATGATGGCACCCAGTATATCTCCGAGAACTGCCGGAGGTCCGAACAATCCTGGTCTGCGACTGTACGAGTTCGAAACTACTACCGGTCAGGTAAGTGGAAACGCATATTCGCCTCCCCTCGCCGTGCCTTGCCACGACTCGCATTGCATCCTATAATCTCCGCCCGTCCATACGATGCCCTCTATTTATGCGACATCCCGATTGAAAGAGCTAAGAATATATAGGATCGACCCCATCCTCTGTTCCGTCGTATTCAGGTGCGGGATTATAAGCAGTACTATCTTAATCTGCTGGAAGCGAATTCAATCGGGGCGGCGAAGTGGTCGGTGGAGTATTCCCTGTGCGAGTACTACGACCTCAAGGAAATCACGGCTATCAGTCTTCACGACCTGGCGGACCGGTTCACGCAATTCAATGATTACGCTTTCGTCAGGTACGTACGTAAACGGATCGGCTGACAAATTCTTTTTTCCGCCGACGTACGTGGGATACGTGACCGTATCGTGTACGGGGGATCGTTGATCATTCCGGTTTTTCCCGATATCGACCCCCATCCTTCCGTCTATTTTCACTCCGCCGGGTAGCCGAGCACGCGCTCGGGAAAAATGAAACGTTACTTTGACATGTTTTCACCCTCGGACGCTGCGCGCTGGCTGGCAGTTTCCTTTGGTACCGCGTGGCAGAGAAATTTCTAAAGCACTTAGAATTTGAGAAATACCGGAGGAAACGTCCTCTCAGGTAACTCTCGTACGTTCCACTACGTTTGTAGAAATACAATTCGACTTGTTGCAATTTCTCTACTTAATTATAATTAAAAAAAATTTGTTGATAAGTGCCTTATTTTTCATACTTCTTTACGATGCAAATGGGTAAACCGAAGCATGCTTAAAACACGTAACGAATAAAATCTCGCGCCCTCGAGATCTTGAAAACTTTTCACCGGTCGCGAACTCGCTACGAAATCTCGTAATTTAATTTCGCTTTAAAACATTCGGGGTTACCCGTCGACGGTAATCGCGTGAAATTTGCGTTTGCCACGCCGGGAACCTTGAAAACAACTCCTCCAACGCGCCGGAGGGCCGCTGTTAACGGATGACTGACGCAAATTGCTCGTGACAAAGTTACGCGACCACGCAGCACCTGTATCCAGTAGAGATACGAGGGGGGGGAGAGGACGGGGAAACTGGCCGACACCGACGCGTCGCGTCCGGCAACATTTACATGATCCGATGCGGCGATTGCGTGAGACAGAGCACGATTCTAAACTCCGTATCTGCCGGGCTCGCTCTCCGCACGCCGCTGCGTAGTCGTGACCAAGGATTAATAATTTCCATATTTCTCGAGCAATTATCCGGCACGATAATTCCACCGGCCCGGTTGACGCTGATAACTGTCTACCCTTTTCAACGCAATCGCGCCATTACCAAGCTAACGACCGTCCGTCTCGATGCGGGTGCGCGCCACGCGTCCCTCGCGCACAGTGCCTAACGAAATTCGGTATTTCTATATGTTGCTGTAACAGATATGTTTCATACAATTTCACGTATAGTCATGTTTTTATCCATTTATTTTAAGTCTGTTCAATTTCTGATTAACCCGTTCGAATCATACGTCAGGGGATCACGTGAGTTTCCGGCGATCATAAGGAAAATTTCGTGATTTTTTATGTTTGTGATCATAGAACTGAACCTGAAAATAATGTGTGATTTCTCAATCAATTGTATAAGCATTCAAATATCATCTGGTTAAATTTGGAAAAGTCTATAAAATAAATTCTTTTTTTCAGGCATTTCTTAACATTTCATTAAATTTACAACTTTGCTTTAATTTCATCCCTTTGAAATAAATAGCAAATTATTTAGATTAATTTTAATTTGACTTTTGCCAAAAATTCTGCAACTTGTGCAGTCACCGAACACCTACACTAAGTCAGGCCAATCCTCTTTCTATGAACGCGGTGACTTATGTTTCCACAGATACTACGCGGCCAACACGGTTTCACTACCACGGGAGGTGGAACAGATCTGGGGCTGCGGGGGCCCGTTGAACGGAGCCTGCGCCCTTCACCATTACTGCACGGTCACCAGATTGAATCAGGAGTCCTACAAAGAGTGCTACATATCGTACGCGTACGCACTCGCGTCGACCGGCGTCCCATCGACGCCGCGACTCCACCTCGCGCTCCACCTCGCGCTCGTGCTACTGGTCTGCCTAGAGTTCCTGAGGAACCGGTAGGTTGGGACTCCCGGGTGTCCCGGCAAAGGACAGCGGCTGCTTCGCTGCCTCCTCGCGCTGACGTCACTCGCGAGCCAACGAGCTTTACGCGTTGAGACCGGTAATCATTCTGGAGATCGACCAACCTCCTCGTACCGCGGCGGGTTCGATCGCGGTAGGGAACGGGCTTAGGAAAGTGCGACCGAATCCAACTTAATATCTGTGTCTGTCTCTTTGTCCACGTCTTCTCTCTGTCGTAACGCGCGAAGGGTACGAGAGACACGGCCGTGGCGCCCGCGTCACGCGTTCACATCGAGACAGCGGAACGCGTGCGACACGCGGGAGCGGCACGGTGACCATCTCGGGCGGGTGCGCGCCGGCGATCGTTTAATAACTCGGACAACGAGATTTCGAGATGTTCGGCGCGACTCGCTTCGACTGGTGGCGAGTGATTCGATCGAGACTCCGCCATGGGAACGGACGGAGCTCGACGCGATGAACGAGAGAGGAGGATAATCCACGGGCTAAACCCTGAATGTTAAGGAACGGTTCGAATCGAGAAACCGAACCATGGAAAAACCTTGATGTTGTAACTTGCTTCACTTAAGCGTTCGGTGTACGTTGTTTTTAAACACGGGAGATTGATCGTATTTATAGGAGCGCGGACGAGCAACGACGTGTGTGTGTGTATGCATGTAGAATGGAAACGAACGACGGATCCGCGCGGAGATCGATTTTGCGTCGCGGCCGCGGAAGCGACGTCCATCCGCGAGTTCGGCGGCCTGCACTCGATCCGTCGGGGTTCCGTCGCCGACGGGAGAGCAGCGGCGTCCAACGATTCCGAGACGAGACTGCGTCGAAGCGTTCATAGCTTGAAGAGCCATTATATTCGTACCACCAATTCGCGATTGTCGGAACAATACAGTATTTCTTAATAAACGAGTTATGGATTTGTATCCGTCGGTGTTCCGAGTTATTTCGCACCCTGATTTCCCGACCGAGACCTCCACCGTTAAATCCTCTTTACATTATACGTACAGCGTAAAAACGAGAACGATAAGATTTGGGTCAAATTGCTTCCCTTGTTTGTCCCGTTGGTTTATTTGTTCACGGGAGTGGAACGTTGTCGCGCGGGAATTGTGACGAAAAGTAATTTTATCAAGTGGGACCGTGGAGGGTAAGGGCAGGGAGTGTAAAATTCTTATTTCGACGAGAGTAGAGAAAAATTGGTGGAACGAAACGTTCCACAATTTTTTAAAGGCGCACTCTCCCTCCACCGTTTTTTTATAACAGATGTGGAAATACACTGTGGGGCGCAATTGTAGTTCCTTTTGTGCCGTAAAATGAAATACTTCTCCCCAAGGTAAGTTGGAATTTTTGGTCATTAACAGAATTGAATTACGGAAAGTCACATTGGAATGAGAATGTGTAAAAAAAAAATATTTAAGAAACGTGTGTCCAATATAATATTACCAGGTATTGAGGTACTGAACGTTGTTATGAGGTAACGTTCGAAAAGTTTGATAAAGTACGTATGCGAATGCTTTTATGAACAGCAATAAATTATTCCATGTACTGCCATGAGAAAGTTTAAGGCAGATAAATCGTTCAGTATTTTCTCCCGCTAGAATAATTCTTCTCCCTTCATTTAAAGAAGAATTACATTCCTTAAATCGCCTTATATATCAAAAGAATCATTTTAAAAACCAGCTTTAAAGTCGCAGACATGATCATGGCATCGTAAACAATAAAAATTGTAAAGCAGAGCCAATTTCAATTTTCTCATCTTCATATACGAAACCCGAAGAGAAATCAATAATCAATAAGAATTTATAAATAACTCTGTGTATCAAGAGAGTCACTTTAAAAACCAGCCCCTAACATTGCAAGCATGATCGAAGTACTAGAACACACTAACAACGAAAATAATAAAGGACAGCTAATTTTTATATTCTCGTCTTCACATGATTTGCTTGATATTTTACTATATAATTTAAAGAGAAATTTATAAGCAATAAAAATGTCTAATAGTTTTCAATGTGAGTGAGAATTTAATTTTCAACTAATTGGAAGTCTGGCAACGGATTATATAATTTATCAGATTCGAAAATATTCCGTTTCCGCTTCCATTCGCAGCTGTTCCTCCATCGACAACGCTTTCAACGCGTTATGGATACTAATCAACAACACCGGCATCATTCGAATGGAGGCAATCAAAAGGAAATTTTTATTCCTCTTCTCTGCACGACCGAATACCGCTGTTACGTCAGCAGTCAACGCAAAAAGAAATAATAATCAGGAAATAAAATACTACAATGCCGATTTCTGTGCAAAATAAAATATTTCTTATATCAGTTAAATAAATGCTTCTCATATAACAATTTCTTCTATCGTTTAAGTATTGCAATTTTTATATTACATACTTGCAATATGTTTTACCTGCTGGTGACCCTTCAATGAAGTACGATCCAATAACCTCGTGACCTATTACGTTGACTAGACACATGAAATATTTCTTAATAGAAAATTATTAACTTAAGAATATTTTATTAATTATTAATTTTTAGTCTTCATTGTTATAATACATTCATACCCAGAATTTAGTGCTTCATTGAAATTGGAGACTAAATATTGGGCATTCTATTTAAAACACTGAAGATGCTCATATCTCGATTCACCCTTTATGTAGTTTTTTCTATTAATGCATAAAATCTTTAGTCTAATTATCACTAACAGGCTCTGGTTACTATTCAAATCTACTTTCGCGCAATCTATATTATACGAGGTGTTTCCCGACTAAGCAACATCGATGAGTGGTTAACAGGAATCCAGAATTTACTCAGATAACAAGATAGGCCCCAGTGCAGCCGAGGTCTCAATTAATCCCGTGGATAGACGCTATAGTTAGGCGAGTAGTAGTAGCCAGGCAACTTCCGTAAACGAGTTCCGGCCCCCGGCCGTGTACGTGGCGACGGTAAATACGAAGATAAGTCGTTCATTAACGCGAAACGGACATTTAGTAGAAAATGTCGAGAATTTCGTCGACGTAACGAGACCCGACTCGCCGCGAGACCGCGCGCCGCGGACCCAGGAGGAACGAAGATTCCCGGGACTGTTGCTTCGCGCGGTTCTCATTTAGAACGGCCCCCCCATCGTCCGGGTAAATTAACTTTCTCCGACCGCCTAATAAGCGCCGGAGTGGATGAGTTAAAGCGCTCGTAAATTAACGTTTTTGTTCGTCGCGAATCAGCTGCTCGTTCCTCGCCATTTACGAACAGTGCGCGGCTACCTACTTCTTTTTTGTTATGTTCGTCCCGTGCGTCTCGCTCGTTTCCAGACACGTTTTGACCATCTTTCCGGGTTTTGTCCTTAAGATAAACAATGGGTCGCATTAAAATGTAGGATGAAAGACGGAGGAAATGGAGCGAGATCGTAACTAAACTCGCGTTGCTCAATCTACGTTCTATACTTTATACAGTTTCCTTATATTTTGCTCGCTGTAGTATGAAAATGTTTAATAAAAGAATTCTTAGATACACTTGGATCTTTTCAGTTTAATTTTGCATTGCAATTGTATGCTTCTTTCAATGACAAAAATATTCCAAGTTATACAGTGAGCCATTGTTAACGTCTAAAAATACATCACTATTCCTGTTCTATTGTAGTACAACATCGAGTTAACCAAATTCAATGCAAGGAAATAGTGGAATATAAAATGAGCCAGGCGAGGTGATTGACTACTACACGCTACAAGCTCGACTGTTTCTATGTTCGAATGGGGTTTCGAGTGGATTCTGGAGGGCGAAGCGCCGCGGGGATCGGTGTTTTCGCGCGTGTCGCGAGACGCGTGAGCGGATTTCACCGGTGCGCTTCGGGGATTTCTCTCGAGGCATAGATACCAGAACGGCACGGCGGCGGGGCGTGACGGGCCATTAAAATTCCCATTGACGTAAACTCTTCCGCTTCGCTTCACCCATTCATGTACATCGATATTTTTCAATGACCCATTTACTAGCCCAAGGCATGCAAAATTCGTTATCGACTTTTCGCTAGACAGCTTCATGACTCGTACCAATATAAGAATAGAATTAATGTTAAACAGTCAGGAGGTGTGGCAGCTAGTTGCGTGAATGAGACATTCGAGCAGAACTGGCTATTTAAGTGTTGTAAGATTTAAAAATAATTCTTCGCTCGACTGTACTTGAGAAACACCGTGCAATTAATTTATCACACGAAGCAGTAATTTATGGTAAGTAGAAAGTATGATTTCTGATAAGCAGACTGTAGATTTTTACATACAATAAAAAATGTATATTTGATATAGAAAATTCAAGTACTGAGATAGGCACTCAGCCTTTAGTTATTACATACAATCCAATTTTGTATTAATTGCATAAAATCTGTAGTTCACTGATAACTAAATCTATCAAATGATTTTCTATTTAATCTTTTCGTAATTGTAATAAATATTGAATTACGAATAGGATTTATTTAATGATCTAAATTAATATTAATGAAAAGTCTCTTAATATTTTTGTATGAAGAGAATGAATGAAAAGGTAACTGCGTATATGTAATACAGTTCTAACATTCTTAGACCTTTTTCAAGTCGATTGTACACCGTCTTCCATACTGAGCTTCAATAATGAGACTTGTACGATCGAAGCCCTAGCCGTAAGAATTCTTCTATCCCGTCTGTGCAATTTAAAATTCAACAACGTACAATCGCATAGCCAGGAAACACGAAACCATACATTATTCGCTAGCAATTCAAGAAAATTGACTTCTTCCATTGCAGTAAATTTCAAATTAGGAACTATCTGTATACATACGATCCGCGCCCCTATCATAAATGCCGGGAGTAAAACCTTGCCTTTTAAACCAATTGCACGAGCAATAAAATGGTAGAACGAAACTAATAGAAATATTCACGTTTAAAATCTTTACAAAAAGAATCATTAACCAGGTATCGTAAATTTTTTTATAATATAATTGTACGAAACAGTTGAATAAACACGTGGGCATGTGATTAAACAGATGCCTTAAATTATGTGCAAACCGTGAAATAAGGGAAATGTTGCAGCGAGCGAATGGCCGTCCTAACTTTAACTGTGAGGCCTTTCACGGGGCATCCTCCCTTGCGAGCGGGAGCCTTCAACCGTGGCCTAATTCCCGGGTTTGCATAAACGCAAACCCGCTTTGGGCGTCCGTTCGCATTCGACTTTTCGCCGGCACACCTTGCAATTCAAACGAGGATCGACAATAAGGGGCGGCATTCCGTTCGATATAAAGTGTCTCGCAGTCGTCACGCGATCCTCGACCTACGAACCGCCTTCCCACTTCTTTTTCCTTTCCCGTCAGAAATCGCGTTGCGACAGACCGCGAACGAGGGGCGCCTTACACGAATGGTTTTCATTAGGGCACCGTGCGCGGGGGAACAATGCGACCGGCCTTGACAATTGAATACGTGTACCCGCACGAGTGCGCGACAATATCCGCGTAAACGAGAACGTGCATAATACGGTGTACGTGCGCATCTGACGATGAAGCCTGTCACACACCAGAAGCCCAGCCTTGTACGACGCAACGCGTTCCTCATAACTTAGCGCGACATAATGCCGGCGCAAAACGCGAGCAGCAGGCAGAGTCATCGGCGTCATCGATCAATTGGACACGCGAGGGCACGGACCCCGGTGTATATACAGTCTGACAATTACACCTTGCGAACCTGCCCTGAACTTGGATTTCTTTAACCATCGCCTATACATTACCAGCTACGCGGGATTTCGCTCTAAGTAGAACGAGTCGTTATAAGTCAGACATCTCGTTCACAGACGATTATCGTTAGGAACGATTAATAGAAATTAATTTTCATCGTAATTATCATTTCTGCTTAATCAGAGTTTCTTTATTTTCAACGTCGTAACATTATTATAATAAATAATGACTCTTTTTA